ACCTACTTTTTTTTTAACCCTGTAATGGTTTAAAAAATTGTCATTAAAATATATATATATATATATATTTAAAATGATGCATCTTAAATTTAATAATTTATTGTAAATTTGTGGTATTTTCCTGTATTGAAATTTTGATGATGCAATATTGTGTCATGTAACTGTATAGGATCGTATTGTAAACAAGTCATTACACACACATATTTCTGCCTGTGCATACTGGACTTCCTGACAGTGCTCACCTGCCAACACTTGCCTCTTAAGAACTGTTGGTGGTGGGGCAGCTAGGTGGCACAGTGGATAGAGCTCCAACCTTGGAGTCAGGAGGACTTGAGTTCAAATGTGGCCTCAGACATAACACTTACTACCTGTGTGATCTTGGGTAAGTCACTTAACCCCATTGCCTAGCAAAATTAAAAAAAAAAACACCAAATAAACCAGAATTAGTTTGGGGTAGCTAGGTGGCACAGTGTACAGAACATTTTCCCTGGATTCAGGAGGACTTCAGTTCAAATCCAGCCTCAGACATATAATACTTACTAGCTGTGTGACTGTGGGCAAGTCACTTAATCCCATTGCCTAGCCAAAAAAAAAAACAAAAAACAAAAAACCTGTTGGTGGACTTGACCACTAATTGGTTATAACTTGCATTTTGTGTGTTTGTTTGGAAAGTGATATAATCACTACGAATTTAACTCTGTTACACAACAGATGAGACATGTACAAACTGGTTTTCAAAATTTTCTTACGGTCTCTTCCTTTTGCTTCCACTGCCCCCTTATTTTTATTCATTGTCCCCAAATTGCACCCGAGGCTGCTTATGTGGGCCTTTCTCCCCCAGTTTCACCCACTTTGGGAACCTCTTGCTAAACTTAATTTTTTCCTACCAGTTTTTGTTTAATAGTATGTCCTTATTCCAGTAGTTAGTCTTTGGCTTTATTAAGCATTATGCTACTGTATCAGTTGACTTTTTTTAAAAGAAATTTTTATTTATTTTTCATTTTCAACATTCATTTCCATAAGATTTTAAATTCCAAATTTTCTCCCCATCTCTCACCTCCCCCCACCCCGAGACAACATACAATTTGATATAGACTCTACATACATGTTGGTATTGAACCTATTTTCACATTAGTCATGTTGTAAAGAAGAATAAGAACCAATGGGAGAAACCAGAGGGGGGGAAAAAAGAGAGCAAATAATATGCTTCAATGTGCATTCAGACCTCCACAGTTCTTTTTCTGGATGTGGACAGCATTTTCCATTATGAATCCTTTGGAATTGTCTTGGATCCTTGTATTGCTATGAAGAGATAAGTCTGTCAAAGTTAGTCATTGCACATTGCGCCTGTTACTGTGTACAATGTTCTCCTGGTTCTGCTCACTTCACTCAGTATCAGTTCATTCAAGTCTTTCCAGGTTTTTCTGAAGTCTGCCTGCTCATCATTTCTTATAGCACAATAGTATTCCATTACATTCATATACCACAACTAATGGGCATCCCCTCAATTTTCAATTCTTTGCCACCACAGGAAGAGCTGCTATAAATACTTTTGTATATGTGGGTCCTTTTCCCATTTGTATGATCTCTTTCGGATACAGATTAAGCTGAATCACCTTATTTTAGTGCTAGCTTGAATATTTGGCCTAGTTAGCAGACATCTATTTCAGTGACTTCATAGTTGATGTGGAAAATGGGTATTTGGATGGCCAGTTATAAGAATCTAGTAACCTGTTTCTGAGCATTTTTAAGTGTTTATGGGGAGTTCATTCAGTGGGATGAAGTGGTTTCTATTCACCCTGCAGTTAGCTAGATGCATCTCTAGGATCTTGACAAAGAGTAAAAATATGTGGATTGCAAAACTCAGTGCTCCAGCTTTTATGGTTTTAGGAAAAGCTGGATCAACAGCATAAAAAAGTGAAAATAAATTGTCTTTGCATATTTAGCACTTGGAGACAAATGATGTTCAATCTTGTTCAACTCTTGGTGACCCATTTGAGGTTTTCTTGGCAAAGATGCTGGAATACTTTGCTATTTCCTTCTCCAGCTCATTGTGCGGAGAGGAAACTGAAACAGACAGAGCGAAGTGACTTGCCCAGAGTCACGCAACTAGTAAATGTCTGAGGCCTGATTTGAACTCTTCCCAACTTCAAGCCCTGTGCTCTATCTTCTGTGCCACCTAGCTGCCCTGGAGACAGAAATTCAATATACTTTAAGCTTTTAAGACTCATGCCTTGAAGGTTGAGGGACAGTTTTTAGATTGATGTCTAGATGATGGAGATGAATTAGGTAATCTATAGGTGGGAAACCTAAAAAGAATGATTAATCCCATTAAGAGTAGGTAAACCCACTCAAATAAAGAATGACAATGGGAGCTGGAGTGAGGATGATTCTTCAAATATAAATCTCATCTAATGTTCTTTGTCAGTGATAAAAGAGCCTGATGCTTATTACCATATTACTGCTCCTGAAGTCCTAAGGATGGTCTTCTTATCTCCTAAAAGAGAAAAAACAATTAAAGTTGTTACTCTTACCACTGGCATTACCTTGAACTTCAGTCTTGAGCCCCAAGACAGTTCTAAGTTAGGCCTGCCCAGAGTAGTATATGAAGTGCCTTGAACATTAAAATGCTAAATAAACATTTGTTGCTGTAAAGAACAACCACCACACAAAGTGATTTGCTGAAGCACAGCTGATAGAAGAGCTAGGATTTTCACCTAGGCCACTCTGCTAACACAGCCATTGGTCTTCCACTAGACCACACTGGATCATGAACTTGCCCTGTCTCTTTAATGGGCTGTATTTAGGCAGTATTTATGAAACTTGGCATACCTAAGAATACTTTTATTGTCATTCTTTGGTTGTAAAATTATTCATTATAAGTCATCTTGTTCATAACTTTAAAAAATAATCTTTATGTAAGGTTGTACCCAGTGAAGAAGGTTGTGAGTAAAGAGCTGTGGGAGGTATTTCAATAGACAGTGACATAATTTTATCTGTGCATTAGGAAGATGGATGTGGTAGCAATTATCTCCCTAGTTTTTAATTTTTTTTATTTTCGCTGTTGATTGCAAAGGTTTTCAGACTTAGGGGGCAGTTCTTCCCACTGAATTATCTTCATGTAGAAGAAGTATTTGAAACTGCGTAATTCACCAAGTTCCGTTTGATCCTCAATAGCTGTTTCTCCCCTTGAATGAAGCTTTTTCTACATAGCAATTCTGTAAGCACTCTTTTTTTTTTTGTAAGCACTCTTGTATAATGCAGTCAATCCTTTTGATATTACAGATGTTATTTTTAAAAAGGTTTGTTATTGCTCATTACAATTTTTTAAATTGTTAAACATTTTTAAAAACAATTTTTTTGGGGGAAATTCTTGTCTTTTCAGTCAGCGTAGACTAGTGAATACTTTCAAGTTGTTGCCTCAGTTTTCATGACATCTAAATCATTGACGCATAGTGAACACAACAGGGTTCCTTATCAACTCTAATCTAAACTTTTGGATCCTAATAATAAATTTAGTGGATCTCAAAGGTATATTTATAAAGATGTAACACAGCTACTTAATGTCTGAAGGTACTTTGTATCCTCAAACCCACTGGCTGCATCTGCTATATATCCTTAGCTTTATCTCTTATTAACTACTTTTACTATTTCCACATATTGTTTCCACCTTCTATTATTACCACATTTCTCTGACTGTTCATTCGGATCTCTCCTGCTATTCAAATGCTGATTCAGGACTGGTGACTTAGGAGGGGTGCCTCTGCCACTGTATCAGTGGTAGTATTGAGGGAGGGTGTTAGAGAGGGGAAGAAGGTAATCCCAATTGCATAGGGCTAGATTGAGTATAAGAAAACTACTGGCCTGGGAAGACAGCCTTGGGGGTTACCATCCTGTACAATCCAAAACTGGGATACTGGCCCCAGGCACTGGGAAAGAGAGTGGCACAGTCAAGGCCAGCAGCTACAAGCACATAGAACAGCTGTGCTGCTCTTTTTAGTTCATATTAATATAAATATATATGTATATATAATTTTATTTCTCCTCTGAATTCTTCTGTGTGTACCACATTTTGGAGACTACTGTGTTAAACTGTGTATATTCATATTTTATACTTGAAAATAATCAGAACTTAATTTTTTTCTAAATTAACATGAGTTAGAAAATTTATGTTGGGTCATGTTGAATTATTTTATTGTGGCTCCATGAGCTGTCAGTTGAATTTAACTCCTAGAGAAATATCTTAATTTAAATTGAAGTGTGTATCCTTTGGATAGTAACTTGTTTTTCTCTATAATAAACCATCTTTATGAGATGAGGTTACTATAAACCAAATTGCATTGTATGGTAATTATACTGTACTTATGCAAGTTGCTTATTTCACATTAGTTCAGGTGTTATTATTATTATTATATATTTACTAGAATTGGCATTTTTCATGTTGTAAATTCGGTTTGGGAACTTCGATTATGAAGTTAAATTGACATGGGTATAGCTGCAAAATTGATTTATTACACTGAATAAATTATTGACCAAAGGCATGGAATATCCTCCTGTGTTTCCCTGTAATTAGTATTTATAATAGAATTAGAGACACTTTCATGTTTTAAAAATACAATTAGATGGAATTGTATAACTTTGAAATGACAACTCACTTTAACTGATTAATGTTTGGTTAATATATTCAAAGTATAGAATTGTGCCAAAATTATAAGGCTAGATAGTAGATAATTATTGTGTTTAGCAGTTGTTTGGTCAGATGAGGCATCTAACCAAGTTGTTAAAAACAAAGGAAGTTCTGGTATGTAGTTTCCTCTCGCTTTAAAAAAAAAAAAAAGAAAAAACCAACCAAAATGAAAAACTACTATCTCTTCTGTAACACATAGGAAGTTGTTATTCTGTAATGTTAAATTGTTTGGTGCTTATACAGTGATTTTTTCTTAGAAGAATACAAACTGGTAACATACTAAAGTTGATCTCTTTTTCTCCCTTCTTGGCAGACCACAACAATGGAGGAAACGGCTATATGGGAACAACACACAGTGACGCTTCACAGGGTGAGTTTTTATCATAGTAAAAACCTATCTCAGGATATTGGTTTAAAACAATAGAGGAAATCCAGATGTCAGGAAGTGAAAGAAGGAAATTAAGTGCTTTTTTTCTTTTCTTGTTTTTGGTTTAAAATTAGTTACTGTTTTTTGCCAAGATTATTGTTAATGATTTTTTTTTGACATAATGGGATTTATGTGACCATCATTATGCTTTCTGAATTTTGGGTGATGAATACAGAACTTTTGTTAAATTCAAATTCCCTAAATTTTGAATAATTTGACAGACAAGAGTATGTTGGCGTAAGTGATATATATATACTTCAAGAGACTTTCAGAAGTTTGCTGTCTAGTCCACGAATAGACTTGACTAAATAGACTATCTCTAAATTGCATTATTCTTTTTAGGTCTTTGTCAAATCAGATTTTTTGTCAGATCATTTGTCCTTGCACAGTTTATGCATTAGACGCTTAATAAATACTTGTTTATTTGATATCAGTCATTGCTTAACTCTTAACATTTTTCCAGCCTAGAATCACTGATCTTTAAGCTAAAAGGGACTTTAGAGATTATCTAGTCCAACACTCTGACTTTAAGAAATGAAGGAACTGAGACCCAGAAAGGTTTAGTGACTTGTCCAGGGTCATATAAGCTGGTTAGTGAGAGACTTAGTTTACTAATGATTCACCTCTCTGCCTTTGTTGTTGCCTAGGTAAACTGCTAATGCTGTTCATTAACAGTTACTAATACTGAGAGCTGGGACAGGGAGGCTCAGCTGCTATAAACTCAGCGTAATTATTTATTCAGCAAATATTTATTAAACACATAAATTTTTTTATAATTCTGAACTTAAACATGAAAATGACCATTTCCATATGCATAGTAGAAGAGAAAAATATGCTTGTACATGAAACTGAATCTATATGTACAGCTTATCTAAATTAAATATGTAACTTTCAAAACTATCTTGCTTTCCTATAGTTTCTTCTAGGTTTCTCTCTTCTGTACATTTTAAAAAAATACTTAAATGACTCTCTTTTTCTTTTTGGCAACCTAATCCTTGAACCATCTTTACCACGCCTCTTCCAACTTTGAGAAAATGCAGCCATCTCTTAGGAACTGCTTCTTTTCTATTCTATACCTGATTCTTCTTTTACGCTCATCCCTTATTTTCCCCTCCTTTATCCCATTCTCTCAGATAACCTTACTTTTTGCCAAGGCATTTATCCTTCAGCTTGTGCTCTTGAATCCTTCCATTTGCTTCTGAGGGAAGGAAGCATGCTCTGCAGTGAGAGAATCTGGGTATCTGTGTGCAAAATGAACCTGATATTTACTAACTGTGTAACCTTGAGAAAGTCAGTTAAACTCCTGTGGCCTCACCTTCCTATCTGTAGAATGCAAGGGTTCTATTAGATGACCTTAGAGGTCATTTCTAACTTAACTTTTTAATGAGTCCTCATCCACCAGTTTTTCTTGAGCAATCAAGACTCCTAGAAAAGAGTCACTTTTTTTTGCTACCCTTTCCTTATTTTTTTTTTTTTTTTAATTAAAATCCCTAGATTGGTCATACCAAAAAAATATAGATCTGTCTGCACTTTAAGTCCACTATCACTCTGTCAGGAGGTAAATAGCATATTTCATCCTGAGTCTTCTAGAATCATGGTTGGTCATTGTTTTGATCAGAGATCCTAAGTCTTTTAAAGATGTTTCTTTTCACATGCTGTTATTGTATAAATTGTTCTTTCCTGTTCTGTCCACTTCATGCTTCATCAGTTCATATAAATTTTTATAGATTTCTCTGAGGCCATCTACTTCAACATTAATATAAAGCACAATATTATTTTATCAGATTTATATGCCACAACTTGTTAGGCTATCCCTTAATTGGTGGTCACCTTCTCAGTTTCCAGTTCTTTGCAACCACTAAAAGAGCCGGTGTAAGTATTTTTATATATCCTTAGTTAGAGTTTCTTTTGCTTAGGTCTAATGATTAGACCTTAAAGATCTTTCTCTCAAAGCACTATCCCTCTTATTACCCTCTTTCCCTTCTCTTTCCTTGTTGAGTGAAGTATATTTCTGTACTCAATTGTGTGTGTTTTTCCCTCCTTTGACCAGTTAAGAGTGAGGTTCAAGTGTTGCCTGTTCCTTCTACCCTTTTCTCCTTGTTTGTATAGATTTCCACTTGTGCAGCCTGATTATATAGTTTTCTCCATCCTTCTTCCTCCTACCCACCTCCTTGCCTCCAGTGTATTCTTTTCCCCATCCTTTTTCATTCTTTTAAGATCATCACATCATGGTAGAACCCCTCCCAGGTATTCTGTCTTAATTAGACCCTCTCTATGACCCCTGATGATGCTAAGATTCTGAGGGTACACGTATAACATCTCATCATATTTGAATATAAACAGATTATCCTTATTTTTGTTTATTCGCTTATGATAATTCATTCATGTTTACTCTTTTGTGTTTTCTTGTTTCTTGTGTTTGCGATTCACGAAGTTTCTACACAGCTCTGATCTTTTCACTAGGAATTCTTGAAAGTTCTTTATTTCAGTTAAAGGTCCATTGCCAAACTTACTGTAAGGAAGACCTGAGTTCTGATCCAGCTTCAGACTAATTGTGCGACCCTGGGCAAGTCACTTAACTTTTCTCTGATTTTAGTTTCCTTATCTGTAAAATGAGTTTAATAATAACACCTAAGTCACAGGGGCATTTTGAAGGTAAAACAAGATTTTTTGAAACATTTTATAAACCATTAAGCACTATGTAAATGCTTGTTATTATTATTATTAATAGTAATTATGTTTTACTGATTACATTATTCTTGGTTGTCAGCCTATATCCTTTGCCTTCTGGAATATGATATTCCTGGCTCTCCCCTCCTTTATAGTGATGCTACCTAAATTATATATGATATTGACTGTGGCTTGTTCCTCCATATTTGAATTCTTTGCAGCTGCTTGCAGTATTTTTTCTTTTGCCTGGAAGCTCGAGATTTTGTCTGTAATGTTCCTGGAAATTTTCGCTTCACTTAATTTCCATTTTGCCTTCTGGTTCTAAAAGATCTAGGAATTTTCTTGTATGATTTCTTGAGATAGGATGTGTAAACTCTTTTATTGGTCATGGCTTTCAGGTAGTTAAATAATTCTTAAGTTATCTCTCTTTGATCTGTTTTCCAGGTCAGTTTTTAAGATGAGATTCCTTCCGTTTTCTTCTGTTTTTTTTCAGTCTTTTGACTTGGAAGTAATCATCTCTTATTTGGTCCAAGGGGTGTGTTGCTTGGGCAAAGGTTTTTATACCTTTTGCTACATGCAGAACATTGGCTTTCCTTTCCAGTTCTTTCTTTTATAGTTCTTGTTTCTTTTTACCTTGTTTCCCTTCTAACACTCTTATTGCAATTATAAAAACTTTTTTAAACTCTTTAAAATTTCTTCCATTTTCTTTGCTAGGAATTCCAGTTGAGTATGTGCCCAAGCTGTGTTTTTCTCTGAGCTTTTGCTTGTAGATATTTTGGAGCTATTCTGGATTTGTCTTAAGCTCCCAGTCACCAGTAGCTTTATATGGTGGGATTCTTTTTTTGTTAATCATTCTTCCAGCTTACTTTCTGACTTTGTACTTGATGTTAAAACCAGGCTCTGTGTACTTCTGGAGGTAATGATTCAGCCTCCATCACTGGTTTGAGATCTATGAGTTCCTGACTTAAGTTTGGATCTGAGCATTCTACCATGGACTTATATTGGAATGTCACTCCTAGTTATAGGTCCCCTCCTCAGTTAGCCCAGCATCTGTGAACTGAAATTGAGTAGTAAGTGACAGAACTGCCAGTTGGCATCCAATCCTGTACCATGTACAAGATTGGGCTCCCCTTTGCTGGATTTGGAATATTTTCTTGCCTTGGTGCACAGCCTTTCTCTGTGATGGAATGCTGTCTGCATTCCTAGGGCCATTCCTGACTAGGCCTATTCCCAGTATCTGCAGACCTCTCTCTTTCACTATGCTGACCTGTGCTAAAAAAATGACTCACTGTGACTTAAAAAAAAATTCCTGCTTACAACTCTGGTGGTCTGGTACATTTTTTTAGATCTGTTGGATGTATTATGGGAGGACTTAGCTCTGCTTCGCTCTGCTATTCTGCCATTTTGGTTCCACCTCCTAATTCATTTTTCAGTCCCCTGCAGTCTTGCTTCTGACCCCACCACTTGATTAATTCTGTCTTTCCAAAGTTTATCCCAATGATTTAACTGTAAATACAGAACCTCTTTTTCAGTATTTGTTTTTCTTGATTGCTTTTCACCTTCTGATTGTAATACTCATTCTCGTCCACATCTTCTCCTTTGGAGTTTCTTCCTTGATTCTATTTCTGTCTGACATTCCTTCTCAGACTCCTTTTTTGGAGCATCATTTTTCTCCTTCTCAATGTTTTTGGCATCCACCATGACTCTTTTTCTGGGCCCTGTTCTCTTTCTGCAACTTTGCGCTGGTGATCTTATCAGTTGTCATGGTTCAATTATGACTATACAAAGGACTTCCAAATACATATATACAGTGCTGATCTCTCTGCTGAACTTAAGTTCCACTTTACCAGTAGTTATACCAGAGGAATTTTATTTGACTAGGAGGAGGGTGACCTCTTCATTTGAGACCCTTAAAGAGGAAATAGCTGGGAAGGACTTTGAGTGATAAGAGATAAAAGAATGAGGGGCTTGAAAGAAGAGGATAGTCTAATAACTCAGAAATAAGTCTTATTCTTCTTATATGTTCTTATTGAACTTATCTCCTAAAACCTGTCATAAGCTTTATATCTCTGCTAACTTTATTTGTTGTACCCTTTCTAATTCAAAGATTGTTCTTTAAATAGAAAAGCAGGAACCAAAACGTGAGTTGGGTAATTCTGCTTTTTGTTATTAACATTGGATCATCTGCCCCAAACAGGAACATCTCTTCCTTGCTGTTCTTGCTCTGATTATACTTAATTTTTTTGGGGGGGGGGCAAGTTTATTCTGGACTT